CTATTTGTTCAACTACGTTTACATTCTGGTTGATTGAAGAGCTCTCAATTAGCTGTGCCTATTTAGTATGCATAACTCGGGAGAGAGTGCATATTTAGGTAATTGTTGAACAACACCACTCCCAGAGTATATGAGGGATCAATAACCGAGGGTTTAAAGGCGGGATTAGGGATAACGAAGCCTTGGGTGCGATCTGAAGTGAACTGTATTAAAAGCCAGCTAGCGTAGCTCGGGAGAGTGCGTCTAGCAAATTGTCGTAATTACTCGGGAGAGATTTACGGTAATAAGAGTGCTCATGATCGGTAGAGAATACTTAGGCGAAATTATAGAAGACATAGCGGAATTCCGACAATAGGGGAAATCATAATTCTAGACCTCCGTAATCTTTTCTCTAACCCTCAGTATCGTTAGTTGTTAATTTACTATTTTAATTTGTTAGTTAAGTAGTTAAACACAAGAATCTTAATATCTATAAGTTAGGAATTGTTCAAGCTTGTCTTCTCGGTGATAGTGAACAGCTGTAGCTAAACCTTAGTTCTCTGTGGGATTCGACTCCGGACTTGTAAATCGGATATATTTGCAGCGACCGCTTAGTTCTTTTTATAAGGCATAATTGGGCGAGATCACACACCTTAATCCACTTAAGTATGAATCATAAAATTCTTTCCGCTTAAAAACTTTAAAACTTCAAAAATTTATGGTTAAAGGAAATATTAAAGATTTTAAATAATAAAAGGGTCATTACTTTTTGGAGTGAAGTAGCACTAAAATTGATAAATAAAAAATGTTAAAATACAGTAAATGGCTCATATTAATAAATGACATCATTCTAAAACACAATATACTTCATTTTATATGATCTTATTTTCTTATTAGTCCGTCTAAAGAAAATGACATACTTCTATTTGAAAACACCTTTAAAATATTTTTCATTCTATTTTTGAAGATAAATTTTTGTAACTACATAAATATTATGACATATTTAAAACTATAAGTCTCAAAAGTCTTATAACCAAAAAGATATTAATTTCAAAATTCATTTTTTTCCCCGCATAAATTAAAGCTGATCTAAAAATGATCAAATGACTAAAGTACTAGCCTGTGTCCCGGGTCGGATCAGGACAAATGCCTGGAGGCGCAGAATCAATAAAACGACATGAACTTACAAATAAATCAAAATGTTCAATTGAGTCCCCAAGTATTTGATCAAATTTGATTGGCGGGTGTTAAACTCATCCCACAGGTTTAGCCACAGGCGCAGGGTGAGCGAGCCTTGTTTGGATTGGGATATTAGATGGGGGATTTGTACGCCTTAGATTTTGACGGAGTTCTCTGTGACAGTTGTGGAGAGAGCTCTCTTTCTGCTGTTAAGGTCATATATCTTTTTACTTACAAATTCATTGCCCATTTTACTTCCCAATATTCAATTCATTGCCCCCTTTTGCCCCTTTATTATTATGTTTTTTGAATTTTGTTGGTTTTGCAGGCTGCTAAAGTAAGATGGCCCAGTCTATTCAATGGAGTGGACTCTTCTTTGGAAGATTGGATTGTGGATCAAATGCATGTGGTAAAGTTTATATTTTTCTTTCTTTCTTTGTTTTCTCTATAGGTCCTATGCTTTTTAGGAGTGGTTTAGCCTTTCAGAGATTTATAAATTTTAGAAAATCACTTTTTGTTACTTTTTATTTGTATTTGCACTATATAGGCGTGAGATGAGTGTAAATGGAGTAACATGATCAGTCAGGATTCATATAGCCGATCCAATCTTGTTTGGGACTGAAGCTTAAGTAGTAGTAGTAGTAGTAGTAGTTGTTGATGTCGTCTTTCTTTTCTCTTTTTGTGTTAACTTGTCAAAGTATTATTCTTTCTTTGTTCATTTCCTTTTCGAGATACATTGGAATGAGTCTAGTTCATATTTCTACTTGATCTTGTTTCCATATTTAATTTTGAAACTTAGCTACTTAAGTACTTCTTAGAAAGTCAAAGTATAAGTGAAGTAGCTAAAAGAAAGCCGTTCGTGTAGATGAAGGAGATACATTTCTAGTACTGGTGCTATTGGGCAAGCTCTTTACATTAATTTGGTTTAGACTCGACTATAATGTTGTTATGCTATAGGTTGTGTTAAGCATGCTTCTTTGACAGGAAAACAAACTTCCTTTCCATGAGAACTGTCACTACTATAAAGAGCGCAAGAATCACACATTGACTATAATGTCATCGCCAGTTCAGTGCATACTTCACATGAGTTTGGCTTTATCGTAAATCTATTGCTAAATATTCTTAGCATATCCAACTGGGTTTGGCCTTGGCTAGTAGTGTTGCTGTGTTGGTGCGTCATCTGTGTGTATAATCATGTGAACTGTTGAAATCAGTCATGTCGTCAATGGACCAATGATCCCTCTGGGTGCTATGAAATAGCAAAAACCAGGTGAAATATGCATTTCAAATTCATAAGTGTGTCGTACTTAAAATTGCTGATGGTTCTCTGAAACTTTCATGCTTTTGACTCTCAGCAATGGGTTTTCCTTTGATTTATTTATCTTTTGGGTGGGGGTACCCTGTGAATTAGGGGAGGGAACAGAAGTAGAGAGGAGAAATTATGTAATATTTGAATTATCCATCTAAGTTGTGCAGAGTGGGGTTACAACCACTAGACTGTTACACCAATACCGAAATTCTTATTTTGCAGTATCATTTTATTGGAAATGCGCCCCCCCCCCCCTCCCTTTTGTCATTCTGCTCATAGTATGCTTATTCTTCCTTGGCTGCATATTTGGCATTCTTAGAACTGATTTTTCATTCCGTTAATAACTTGAACAGAAGTGTTTTGAATAGCATTTTGATAATAATTGCACAAATACTGTTTTAATCTTTTGTTAGAGTTAATCTTTTACAGTCACATAAATGACAAATATCATCACCATTTTGTCAGAGTTAATCTTTTGTTTGCGAGGGAACTACTTTCTACTATAGTAACAATCATATTTGAGATCCATATACGGGTGTTAATTGTGTTTGCAGTCATATAGAAATGATAAAACCTTCAAACTTTCTGCAGGTTAGACCTGTGGTGGAAACTGGATATGAAAATCTTTTACTTGTGAGGTTGCTCTTAGAGACGAGAATTCCTTCAATTCGCAAGTCTTCGGTGGGTACAAGAAAAAAGATTAGAAGTGTCTTGGATTTGATGACGCAAATCTATTCATTTCAGTAGATGTATCTTAAAATTTCTCGAGGTGATGGCTGTCTTAACGTAATAGGTTGCAGAGGGACTAACAGTTGAGGGAATACTTGAGAACTGGGCAAAGATAAAACCCATTATAATGGCAGAATGGGATGAAGACAGGGATTTTCTTATAGATCTTTTTGGTAAGGTTAGAGATGAATGGATGGACAATGATTTGGCTACTTGGATTGGTGCAAACAGGTAAGTCTAGTTGTTGATCATGTTTGTAAGATCAAATCAACCACTTGAGGGTCCTGATTAGCCCTAATCTCTTCGCTAATTTGTAATCCGTTAATGAACATAAAGAAATACAGAAAGACAAACGCTATATTAGTCACCTACATTTATGTCCTGAACACGATATCATAAGTTGGTTGCTGCTCATTTTATTGTCATTCTTAGAATCATGGCAAAAATTTTACTGTGTTGAAAAATACTAAAAAATTTACTGCTTTCTCTACAGGTTTTATCCTGGAGTTCCTGATGCACTGAAATTTGCAAGTTCAAAGCTCTATATAGTCACTACGAAGCAGGTTTGCTAGAATGTGCACACCTGAAGGAAATATATTTCAAACTAATTTATCCTGTTTTTTAAATCTTTAGCTAGTTCTTGAGGAATGAGGAATTGAAATCGTAGAGCGTTGAGTTAAACTGTTGAATCTAATATTTATACTCTGAATCTGACATGGATTCTCCACTTCCATTTGCAGAGCCGCTTTGCAGATGCATTACTTAGAGAGCTTGCTGGGATAACTATTCCAGCTGAAAGGATATATGGTCTGGGCACAGGGTAAGTTTACTTTACGCATGTGAGCTTGGATTAAGCTAATTGCAATAGCAAGAGACATTATCATCCGTGTTGCTTATCTCAAGCATATACTCGTGCTCACATGATACTTCTTTTTTATCAGCCCTAAAGTGAAAGTGCTTCAGCAACTTCAGGAAATGCCAGAACACCAGGGTCTGACCCTACAGTAAGATTTTTATAGTATCAGAACTACTCAAACTTCTTTTGGATAGCCATATGGGTTCTACTGAGTGAAATTAAGTGCGTCCACTTTTGTCAATGTTGATCAGCTTTGTGGAAGACCGACTTGCTACTTTAAAGAATGTGATTAAAGAGTCCGAGTTGGATGGATGGAACTTGTATTTAGGTGACTTACCATACTCTCTTTGTTTCTTATAGATGCATCGTACTAATTCATTTTCTTTCCTCTTGCGGTTCAGTTTTATTGGCAAATTGCTATGTTGTACTGATTGCTGATCTGATTTTCCGGAAGTAGGGGACTGGGGTTACAATACTCAAAAGGAAAGGGAGGAGGCTGCTAGCATTCCCAGAATTCGCCTTCTTGGGCTCTCTGACTTCAGCAATAAGCTGAAATAATCTTGTATTCTTCCAATTAACTTGCCTTTTTTATTAAATGAGAGGGTCTGCTGCAATATTCTCCGATATCCGTAATTTTCTTACAAAATTATGTATTCAGCATCTTGCCCGCTCTGGTCATCCCAATGTATACACAATTTAGTTTGTGGGATGGTTTATGTTATGCTTGAATAAAAATAATTTTATCTTCAGGATTTAGAGAATGCTCTCTCAAGGTCCAAACCTCCATTCATAAATCATAATGAGTTTTAACTTCCGTGTCACCTAAGAGATAATTATAGGTAGCTGGCTATATAAGTAGAACTAGCTACCTAGAAAATAAGACAGGCAACCTGCTAGAACAAGTTAAATTACATTAGCCTGTTCTAAATAAGTCCAATCCAATCATAATTGGTGAACAACATACACTCCCTTATAAGATGTCATTACTCCAACAACAGATATTTCCCAGCAGAATGTTCATTGATCAAAATCAAAAGAATTCGTTGATATAAATGGACGTATACAGCTTACTTTTCAAATAGAGCACAAATTGTAAACTCACAGAGGAGGAGATTGTGTAAGATGCCAGCCATGTACACCTGCCTTCTGATAATACACCTTAGAATATAATTGATCAAAATTAGTTGTGGATTAGATTTTTTCTGGTTATTACAACTCATTATGCCTATTCTTCTCTTTTGAGCTGGTATGATCCAGTTTACTTTTCTCAGTCTGGATCTTCTCAAATGCTTCTTCAAAAGGAGGATCCCCTGGTCTTCGAAAAAGTTGGTCCCCTAATTTAACCTCATATGCTTCTGGTTGGCTTAACAAGAACTCTTTCAACTGCAAAATGGAGGAAAATAAGAGATTCTCAAATTTTTTAGCACACAGAACTTATTACTCTCTGAAATACCAACTAATGCATCGTCCCAAAATCAAGAAGAACTGAATAATGTAAAACCATGCAATAAAGATGCATTTGAGGGCTAAAATTTAAAGCAAAACTAAAGCCTTGATATTCATCATACAAGTGTTCTGATATTTGTTTGATGGTCGAGTACTGTTCTTCACAAAAGCTATATATCCATGATATTCTTTCGTCAGTTGATATTGCAAAATGATGCTAACTTCTACCTAATCCCTGATAGTTTTGAGCCATTAGAAGTTAGAACAACTATTTGCTTCAAGGATCAATAGGCAGTTAGCAGGTAAAGAATAAGATACCAGATTTGGGAGGTTAGACAAACCTCTATAGTATCTTGGCCTTTCTCCATTGTGAACATGATCGTGCTCACATCGACGCCCATGAATTTTGCCTCAATTGCTCCAGTTCTTGCTAGTTTTGTCCATTTCATGGCTATTTCAGAGACCTTCTCCTGTTAACAAGTTTGATTTCAATTAATAAAACATTTACTTTGCAGTCCTATCTAAGCCTCTGCAAACTAGATGCCCTTCTTTTCAATCAACTATGCTTCAATCCTAAATCAGTTTGGGTCAGATTAAACAATCCTTATATTTGTTCCATTCTATCTAAGGTCCATTTCACTCTAATACTAAATAATTTTCCTTTTAAGACAAATTAGAATATATCTAAATCTCACTCTTATCTCTACACATATAACTAGTCAGAGATAAAAATGGCAGCCCGATGCACTATGCTCGTGCGCGGGGTCCGGGGAAGTGCCCGATCACAAGGGTCTATTGTACGCAGCCTTCCTTACCTTGCATTTTTGCAAGAGGCTGTTTCCACGGCTCAAACTTGCGGCCTCTATAACTATAATAAGTCAGAGATAGAATTAACAAAAAAAGCTGCTATAATTAATCCATTTCCTGTAGCTTTTTATTGCCTGAAACGTCCCTTCTAAAACAGAAAAGAGAAGTTCTAGATCTACCATATTCTGCTCTTGGTCAACTCATATTTTCTTGTTCTACTTATAATCCGAATCGATCCGAATGGGCAGAGGCGGATATAAGATTTAATGTTATGGATTCAAGGTTCAAAATACTTTAAAAAAATGGGTTCAAAATATAATATATATCTACTACCAGGGAAATTGCGGGTTCAATCGAACCCATCCCTATTACCAGGGATCGATCCAGTGTTTCGGCATCTGGTTTATCCAAACACGATATTTTCAATGCTGAATATAGAAGTTTACATGAAAACACCACAAATTAAAATCTCGACTCTGGAAAATACACCAGTCACTGCAAATGGATGCAGAGAATTTGGATAGTTTACTCCCACTAGCTAGGTATTGAGATGCAGTTGGTAGATTTCTCTTGCAACGAGGCAATTACTTCGTGTGTCCTAAAATACTTGTCACTTTTAACTTCTCCAGATTCAAACTAATGAACTTTGACCCATATTTTAACATGTATTTTTTTACCATATTGAAATGAGAAGAAATTGCAAATTATAAATAGTACTTTTCGTATAATTTTCTAATATTTAAATATTAATTGAAAAATATTAAATTTACCTAATATAAATTAGCTAAAATTAGTTAAATTAACTCTCGAAAATCAAAACTTGTATTTTACTAGATTCTATGTTCTAAGTAGGAATATCAATATAACTCGTCATTACTCATCACATTATTCCGTACTAATCCGAATTAACAAAGAAGTAACAATGTAGAAATTAAAATTGAGTTTAAGTTTATGCTGACGGTGAATAAATTATGTGATATGCTAAAAATTTATAAATAACATGTTATCACCGAGTGTCCGAGCATAAGAAAATATTCAAATTGGCAATGTGTATAAATTGGATCCATTGAAATTTAGAGGTAAAGCAAGAGATACCGGAGTCCGACGAGTTCCAAGTCGTAGTTTGACAAATCCAAAAACCGGACCCGACTGCTGCTTCATCATTTCCGATTGAATTGCCGACGGACTCATTGTGCTAAAATCCATCTGCGGCGGATCGAAATCGGATTCGGCCGATTTCTTTCGGCCCCATTCTCTCCAAGCTTCATCTTCCTCATCGTCAACGACGTCGTCGAGATCGTCGGAGATTTGGATTCTCCGTTGAGCTCCATGGGCAAATCGGTAAATAATTCCAGTTTCAGTGGCGAATAATAACAGCACCAAACAAATAACTGTTGGTGAATTAATTTGTAGTATTTGCTTTCTCATTGTGCCAATGATTTTTTTTCAGTTAGCGATTTCGTTTATTATAAATTATAATGCTTTGCGTGTCGTGGATAAATAGGTTTTGGGAAATTACGTGCTGGAAAGTGGAAGTGTGCATTATTCTGATTTCTGAGCATGAAGGCACGATTTGCATGAATGTTCTACTTCACTTTTTTCTAATTTTCTTTTGTTAGAATGTGTTTTCCAATAAGGAATATTTTTCTTTACATAGGTAACATTAGAAGATGTCAGTAGATTATGATGAGAACTTTTCGCCTCGTTTGTTTATTTAACAATTAAGACAATTAAAACATCTGAATCTGAACACATATTTGAATATCAAAATATGTATTAAGATTAAGATATCTGAATATTAAGATGTGTATTTAAATAAAATACTAAATCTAAAATTCTGTCGCACACATATAAAATACCAAATCTAAAATGCTACAGGCTCAATAGGCGGCGGTAGCTCAGTTACAGAACCAAATCTGCGCACCAAGCAGAATTGAACCCGATCCGTCCCGAGAAATCACCCGCAGGAACGAACCAATCGCAGAGAGGTCGAATGGAAACGAGTTGGGGACTAACCCCGAGATCATAAAAATGCTCGAGGAGTTGACAAAACGGATAGAATCAGGGGAGAAGAAAATCGAAGCAAATGACAAAAACATAGAAACCTACAATTCCAGGGTCGACCAAATCCTGGGAGCGTCGCCGATACTGAAAGGCTTGGATTCTAAGAAGTTCGTGCAAAAACCTTTCCCTCCGAGTGCGGCTCCGAAGCCAATCCCTACAAAATTCCCCATGCCCGAGATTCCTAAGTACAACGGAACGACCGACCCAAACGAGCATCTTACCTCCTACACGTGCGCCATCAAAGGGAACGACTTGGAGGATGATGAGATCGAGTCTGTCTTGTTGAAGAAATTCGGAGAGACCCTGTCAAAGGGAGCTATGATATGGTATCAACACTTGCCTCTTAATTCTATTGACTCATTTTGCTATGCTTACAGGCTCTTTCGTGAAAGCACACGCCGGGGCTATAAGGGTTGAGACCAGGAAGTCAGACCTTTTAAAGTAAGACAAAAGGATAATGAGATGCTCAAAGAGTTCGTGTCATGGTTTCAAATGGAACGGATGGACCTGCCACCGGTCGCTGATAATTGGGCCGTTAAAGCTTTCACCCCAGAGACTTAATGTTCGAAGCTCGGTGGCTTCACATCAGTTGAAGCAAAATCTGATAGAATATCCGGCTATTACTTGGGCCGACGTGCATAATCGGTATCAATCAAAAATTAGAGTTGAAGATGATCAACTTGGGACCCCTTCGGGGTCCGTGTATCCTGTTAGATTCGTCGACGGAGTCAAGAGAGATATCGACCATGAACCGAGGTCAAACGGGGATCGGTATCAGCCTTACAGTAGAGATCGAAGAAGCAGTGAGTCGGGGCAAAATTCTATGTGAAGTGAACGGAGAAGTGATCGAGGTCAGAGCAACCGGGGACTCATGAACAAGAACGGTTTCGACAAGCCTATCGGGCCTAAGGAAGCACCGAGGTTATAGGAATATAACTTTAAAGTCGATGTTGCTGCCATTATATCGGCTATCGGACGCATCAAGGACACCAGATGGCCTCGACCCCTACAATCCGATCCTACCCAAAAGAATCCTAACCAGATGTGCAAATATCATGGCACTCACGGCCACAAAATAGAGGATTGCCGACAGTTAAGAGAGGAAGTAGCCCGGCTATTCAACAACGGGCACCTTCAAGAATCCCTTAGCGACCGAGCCAAGAACCATTTCAGGAATAGGGATTCTAATAAACAGACCAAAGAAGTAGAACCTCAACACGTCATTAACATGATCATCAGTGGGGTCGATGTCCCTCAAGGGACGATGTTGAAACGCACCAGGGTATCCATCACAAGGGGAAAACGTACTCGAGATTACATACCGGAAGGAACCTTGGCTTTCAACGACGAGGACGTAGAAGGGATCGTGCAGCCCCACAACGATGCACTGGTAATATCTGTACTCATAAATAAATATCGAGTTAAGCGCGTGTTAATTGATCCAGGTAGCTCGGACAACATCATCCGATCAAGGGTCGTAGAATAACTCGGCCTACAAGATCAAATCGTACCTGCAGTCTAAGTTCTAAACAGATTCAACATGGCATGTGAAACCACTAAGGGAGAGATAACATTACCAGTGAATGCCGCCGGAACCATCCAGGAAACCAAATTTTATGTGATCGAAGGGGACATGAGGTACAACGCCCTGTTCGGGAGGCCATGGATCCACAATATGAGGGCAGTACCCTTGACTTTGCACCAATTGTTGAAATTCCCAACACTGGGAGGGATTAAAACAATCTACGGGGAGCATCCAACCGCAAAGGAAATGTTTGCGGTCGAAGAGGCGATTTCGATATCCGCACTTACAATGACAATTGGCCCAAGTTTGGTCACAAAACAAGAAGATAAATAACAATTACCGACACCAGCCCCGACCCAATCGGAGAAACAGGGGACTGATGAAGACGATGACTACGGGGTTCCCAGGTCTGTTTTTAGCCCCCGATGATTTCGACGCCACTAAATCAATGGTCGAGGAGCTAGAACATGTCATATTGATCGAGCATTTACCCGATCGAAAGGTATACCTGGGCACGGGGTTAAGTCCCGAGCTCAGGAAAAAACTCATTCAATTTCTTATAGCTAACATAGATTGTTTTGCTTGGTCCCACCTTGATATGACAGGGATCCCGCCGAAGATAACCACTCACAAGCTAAGCCTGGACCCGAAATTCCACCCGGTCAAGCAGAAGAGGAGACCCCAGTCCGAGGTCAAACATGCTTTCATCATGGACGAGGTATCTAAACTCCTTAAAATAGGGTCCATTTGGGAGGTTAAATACCCGGATTGGTTAGCAAACATAGTAGTAGTCCCTAAAAAGGGGAATAGATTAAGAATGTGTGTAGATTATAACGATTTGAATAAGGCATGTCCCAAAGACTCCTTCCTTTCCCCGACATCGATCGCATGATCGATGCCACGGTCGGCCACGAGATCCTCAGTTTTCTCAACGCCTACTCTGGGTACAACCAAATACGAATGATCAGGAAAAAACCTCCTTCATCACTAAGTACGGCACATACTGCTATAACGAGATGCCACTTGAATTAAAAAATGCCGGTGCTTCTTATCAACGCCTAGTAAACCAGATGTTTGAGGAACAAATAGGAAAATCAATGGAGTATACTTGTACTTGGAAGTATCGGAGATAGCGGTAAGTGAAGTCCTGTTCCGGGAAGAGCAAGGTACGCGATTTTCAATTTACTATGTTAGCAGGACTGTAGGTGAGGCCGAAACTAGGTACCCTCACCTAGAAAAATTAGCGCTCGCTTTGCTAAGTGCCTCTAGGAAGTTGAAACCATATTTTCAGTGTCATCCTATATATGTTGTGACTACTTACCCATTGCAAAATATAATGCATAAACTCGAGCTCTCGGGGCGTTTGGCCAAATGGGCCGTGGAAATCAGCGGGTACGAGATTGAATATCGACCCCGGACAACCATTAAATCTCAAATTTTGGCAGATTTCGTGGCTGATTTAACGCCAGCCCTAGCACCCAAGGTCGAAAGAGAGTTGCTGGTGAACTCGGGGACGTCTTCGGGAATTTGGACCCTCTTTACGGACGACGCCTCGAACGCAAAAGGGTTTGGACTTGGCATCGTATTGAAACCACCAACAGGTAATGCATTTAGACAATCTATTAGGACTAAAACGAGGCCGAATTTGAGGCCATGATTGCAGGTCTCGAACTGGCTAAAAGCTTGGGGGCAGAGGTGATCGAAGCTAAGTGCGACTCCCTCCTCGTGGTGAACCAAGTTAATGGGGCATTCGAGGTCAGAGAAGAACGGATGAAAAGGTATCTAGACAAATTGCATGTGACATTACATCGATTCAAGGAGTGGACTTTGCAACACGTACCTAGGGATCAAAACAGCTAGGCCGATGCCCTTGCTAACTTAGGGCCGTCGGTCGAAGACGGTGATTTCAACTCGGGGGCAGTCGTAAAACTCATGAGATCACTAGTGGAAGAAGGCCATGCCGAGATAAACTCAACAAGCCTAACTTGGGAATGGAGAAACAAATATATAGAATATATGAATACCGGGAAATTGCCCTCAGATCCAAAAGAGTCGAGAGCCCTTCATACGAAAGCTGCCCGGTTTAGTTTATCCGATGACGGAACCCTGTTCAGAAGAACATTCGATGGCCCACTCGCGATATGTCTGGGGCTAGGAGATACCGAGTACATTCTGAGGGAAATCCACGAAGGCACATGTGGAAACTATTCAGGCTCCGAATAATTGGTTCGAAAAATAATCAGAGCCGGCTACTACTGGATCGATATGGAAAAGGACGCGAAGGAGTTCGTGCGGGAATGTGATGAATGTCAAAGAGATGCTCCGATGATTCATCAGCCCGGGGAGCTGTTGCATTCGGTTTTGTCACCATGGCTGTTGATAAAGTGGGGAATGGACATCGTTGGCCCCCTTGCATGGGCACCCGGTAAGGCTCAATTTATATTGTTTATGACTGACTATTTTTCTAAGTGGGTGGAAGCCCAGGCATACAAGAAGGTCAGGGAGAAGGAAGTGATTTGGGACCACATCATATGCCGGTTCGGAATGCTGGCCGAGATCGTGTGCGACAACGGGAAACAATTCATCGGCAGCAAAGTAAGCAAGTTTCACGAAGACCATAAAATCAAAAGGATCCTATCGGCGCCCTATCACCCTAGTGGGAATAGACAAGCAGAATCGACCAACAAAACCATACGCCAAAACCTCAAAAAAGGTTAACCGACGCCAAAGGAAAATGGAAGAAATCCTGCCCGAAGTCCTATGGGCATACTGTACCACCTCGAAGTGCAGTACCGGGGCCAACCTGTTCTCACTGATTTACAATGCCGAAGCTCTAATACCGGTCGAAGTCGGGGAACCAAGTGCCAGATTCTGATATGTAACCAAGGGATCGATCGATGAGGCCATGAGTACCAGCCTGGAGCTATTATATGAAAGGCATAAAGCCGCCCTTATTCGATTGGCTGCCCAAAAGTAGCGAAT